GCTGCGGGGAGGGGGCTGCCCGCCAGCTGTGGGGGGCAGGCGCGGGCACGCCGGGGCCGCTGGCTCTGACACCCTCCTGAAGGCACGCTGCTGCTCTGCTTTGGCAGGGGGAGAGCAAGGACTTGTTGTTCATCCTGACAGCCAAGTATAACGCCTGCATCCTCGAGTACAAGCAGAACGGGGACAGCATTGATATTATAACCCGTGCGCATGGCAACGTGCAGGTGAGTGAAACTGCAGCACCTGGAAGGGGCGAATTCCCTTCCTTGGGGATGTTTTTACTGTGCCAGTGATGAGACTGTGCCTCGGTGATGGGCTTCTGCCTTGTTACTTATGATTTTTTGCCTACCACTGACTCTGGTATGGTTCACCTGCTGCCTCTGGTATTTGCAGAGGTTTTTGCCTGCAGTGAGTCAGTCGCAGGCTCAGGGACTGAGGACATGGCTACAGCTGTGTTCTCAGGGTAGTTTGCAGAATAATACTCTTACTGTAAAGAGAATTAGTGCTCAAAGCTCAATGCAAGGTAGAATTTTTCCTGGGAAATGACTCCTCCGGTATTTTGTGGCCGGTCTCTACACGCTGCGTTCCAGAAGCACGACTGCTGAAGTTACTCTTACCATTGTGACCGTACAACGTTGTTAATAATTGTAGATGTTCTCCATTGTTCTGTTTTATGTGGATTAAAATCACGCCTTCTGAGCAGTTCAGAAATCCACATGTCTCTCTGGCTTTTTGTTACTCATTAGCCAAATAATTTGCATCAGCTGTCAAGCCAAAACATCTTCCATCTGTTTCCAGGCACTGAGCTTTTGCTGACTTACTGTTGGTGAAGCTGAGCAGGGGGTTATGGGCAGGAGGTGTAGGTGGCCGTGTCCTGTCAGTAACACGTTTTAGGGTGTTTGGGGGAAAAGTGATTAATCTTCCCGTGCCACGGTTCTGCCTTGTGACATATGGAGGTGCTGATACCGGCCCCCGCCGAGTAACACTGAGGGGTCTGCGGAGTCTGATAATAGGGCTGGATTTCTGGAGGGTGATTTTGGGTCACGGATATCAAAGCACTTCACAGCAGCGGAGAGCATCGCTCTCCGTCAGCGATAGAAAGCGGAGGCGCAGGACAAGCGACGTGGCTTCTCTGAAGTCATTCAGTAGAGAGTCGGGATTAGAAAACCCGTTGCAGGGTCTGCTCCTGGAGCGCCTGGTTCCCGGGAGAGAGAAAGTGTGTGCTGTGGGAGTTCTGCCAGGCTCTTGCACGGAAAGGACCCACTGCTTTAGGCAGGAGATGGCCTGAATCGCCTTTGGCTTGCCAGATGGTATTTTAAAGCCTGCTGGGAAGTGTGCAGGGAGTCCTTCCTTGGCCGAAGGGTGGTAACTCTTGTACCTACTATTCTCAAGTGCCACGTGAGGATCTGTTTCTAATGCTAATCGCCCTTTCTCTTTCCCCTCTCCACGGATCTCTCGCTCAGGATCGCATCGGTCGTCCCTCAGAGACCGGCATAATTGGCATCATTGACCCAGAGTGCCGGATGATCGGCCTGCGGCTCTATGATGGCCTTTTCAAGGTCATTCCCCTGGACCGGGAGAACAAGGAGTTAAAGGCTTTTAACATCCGCCTGGAAGAGCTCCAAGTCATCGATGTGAAGTTTCTCTATGGCTGCCAGGCTCCGACCATCTGCTTCGTCTACCAGGTACCTTGTTCTCGATTGGTGACTCAGGCAGAGGGTGCTGGAGATTGCTGGTGCACCAGCCAAGGTCTCTAAGGGTCTTCCAAAGGATTTGGAGCAGCAGCAGTGTCCTGGAGCCATCGGAAAGCAGTGCTTTGGACAGAGTGAGAGACCGTCCTGGCTCCTGCAGGCTCGTTGTGTAGCCGAGGAAAGTCCATGTTCCTCTATGCTGCTTCTTTCCATTTCTGGGAGAGGGGAAGCAATGCTCTCCCAGAGGAGAGCGGGGCAGCTGATGCTTCGGATGGGACCGTTTCCGTGTTAAACACTCAGGAGGAGTGCATGGGTCTTTTCAGCAAGTGCTGAGCAGGTGGATTAGAGCCAGAGTCAGTTGTTTCCTATAGGCACTGCTGTGAGACTTGAGCCTTCCCCTTAAAAAAAAAGCAGTATGTCTTGGTTGGTATTTGGGAGGCCACTCCAGGAGCGTAAAGAGGGGCCATACCCATGCCTGGGTCCTCACAGAGGCAGTGTTTATAGGCCCTTCTCTAAACGCTTATTTTGAACGAAAGAGCCTTTGCTGTGCTGACTGGGCGAGGGATTATCTTTGCTTTGTCAAATTCCAGGCTAGCCTGGGCCTAGCTGAAAGTTCCTGGGACGGCAGCACAGAGGATCTGCTGTGAATTTAGTTCAGCTTCGGCGCAGTTCTTAGCGGCAAAGTCATACCATAAGAGCTTCCAACCACGTGGCAGCAGTGACTTGATTATTCCCTATCTGGGTGCTGTTGAACCCCCCTAACAGTTACTGAGTAAAGGCACGGGACAGAAATCGCTTTGTCGCCGTGTAACTAGGGGTTGGGGGGGCAGCCCCGATTCCCCCATGTCAGGGCAGTGCCCTTCCCCTGCCCCGTGGGTAGCTGGTGCTCTCCCTTGTCACCTGAACAGACGTCAGCTCTCTTCAGCCTTGCTGGGAAGTGTCCCCAGCCGTCACGTATCCTGCCCACCTCGCAGACACTTGCGTGACCGTTTAACGGTGTGCAGAAAAAAGGAAGAAAACAGGGAGGGGTTTGATTAAGAGGCTCTACCTGAAAAACCAAAGGATTTTCAGCTGTTGCTAATGTGTAGGAACAAGCACTGTTTTCTTACAAAAAGCACGGCCGTTCTTTTCCTATTTAGGGGAGAAGGCAGTCATGATCCCTTGTACGACAGAGTGGAGCCTGACCTGGAGGGCTGTGTCGTGCACACTTTTACAACGGGTGGCTGTCTCGTTTCTGTGTGACTGGGGAGTGTATGTGGGGACCGTATTTTTACCCCATGCAGCCACACTGACTTTGAAACCTGGCGTCAGAAGGGAAGCTCAGAGCCAGTCTTTGCTCTAGAAATACGCGCTAAGGGTGGCTGGTTTATTGTGTATTTCTGGTTTTGACTCGCTGCCTGGGTGACTTCCCCAAAGCTAGGAAGCCTAGCAGTGGCGGTGTGCTGCTCTGAAAAGTGCTGAGTGTGCCCGTGAGTTTGATTAGTACCGTTGCTGTTGCGTGCTGGGGAAACTGAGGCAGAGAGGGATGGTGATTTGGAAAAATTCTTAAACTCGGTGTCAGGGTCTGGACAGGAGCATGCCAGTTTCCACTCGCTGCTCAAGAGCATCGTAAAAGAGGAGCTTGGTCACCCCATGTAGTCAGCAAGTGAAAAGGGTCTTATCTGGAGATCTGACATCTTTACAGATTAAATCAGAGCAAATTGTTAATGGTTCATTCATTATAAACAGGTATGGGATGAATAAAGAGTAAATTAATAGCTTGCTCCACGTCTAAGACTCTTAACGTGAATTTTATCCTTGCAGCAGGAGCGAGATGTAAGTTCTGTCTGAGTCATTAGGCCTTACATAAAACTCTGGCTTTGTTTTGGTCCCTGGGTGTCTGACTTGCGTGTGTGTGGAGAGGGGAACGTTTCCAAGCTGCCGCTTTGATTCCTTCTCAATTTATTAATCATTATCACAGGATTTGGACTGAATAGAATAGCAGTGTCTGAGATAATTTTTGTGTAGTTCTGAAACCAGAGGAAGATACCGCAAAAAGGGGAAGTTCGTAAAAATGAAAGAAGGCTTGAGAGCTGCTGCGGTGTGGAGTAAAAAGGTCCAGAAATGTCAAAAGTTTCTTTAATGACTCCTCTGCCATTTTAACAGCCCCATTTCAACTTTCTCCTCCCCACGGAGCTATTTCTCCTCCTGCCTTCCCCTTCTCTGTCAGCCAGTGCTGCTCTTTGCTTCCCTCGGTGCTGCACCGCTGGCTCTCGCCAGGACCTCAGGCTCCGGAGTGCCGTCAGTGAGGACGTTTGCCAAGCGGCAGAGGCTGTGTGGGGTGAGCCAGGAGGTGCCCAGCTTTCCTGCGAGTGTTTGTTTACAGAGCTGATGGCTACAGGGAGTTAAAAAAAAAAAACAAACGCTTTTACTCAGATCTGGAAAGTGGTGAGGCATAATAAATAAAAAGATGAACAGCTCTTTTTAAGTAGTTCTATGAACAACGTGACTAAGGAAACTGGCTCCCTGTGATTTAGAGCCTTATCTTAACTTTTGAGACATGAAATTGGTCAGTGGGTTACGTTCAAAGCCCTCTCTGTGCTTTGGGTGCTCGTACGTCTTTTCCCCATGCGGGTTCCCAAGCGCTTGTTAGCGTAGACCACCTTTCCCGTAGCGGGGTGCTGATCTGGGGGGCCTCTTCTCCACCCACAGCGTATTTTGGTGCAGCCTGCGTGGACTTGCTGCCTCAGAGACCTCCGTGCGCGTCAGGTTTGGTTGAAATTGCCTGCTGGGCTAGGAATTACTGGAATGGCAGAGCCGTCGGGGGATTATTCGGCAAGCAGATTATGTTTCGTCAGGAAACCAGGCTGAAAGGCCTGAGGAGCATCGAGATGGGAGCTCAGCTGCCCTGGCACCTGCGCCGCTACAGCAGAGCTGAATTCCTGAACGCCTTGCTGGAGCTGGAGGCGGTGGCGATATTGTGTAGTGCCACTCATGCCCAGATTTGTCAAGCTGTGTGTCAGATGAATACAAGTCCCAGAAAATCCTTGTATAAAAATGCAAAAATAGTTTTCAGTCTTTTCTGGCACAGGGATTTATTCAAGGGTTGTTCAACATATGGATAAAGTTAGAGAGAACATTAGTGTGAGTATGTGCAGACACGTGTGTGGTTTGAGGGAGACTGGAGAGGAGGTGGGCAGGGTGGGAAGCCTCAGCAGCTCGCTGGTGATGGTGCTCTTGCAGGAGATGAGGTGGAGTCTCCTTGCTTCGTGGGTTGCTAGTCAGCTCTGCTTCTGGAGTCTCCGTTGCTGTGCGCATGGAGCTGTCATCAGTGCACGTCGTCATTTGTGGCTTCTCTCTCAGGACCCTCAGGGTCGCCATGTCAAGACATACGAGGTGTCGCTGCGCGAGAAGGAGTTTAACAAAGGTCCTTGGAAACAGGAGAACGTAGAGGCTGAAGCCTCCATGGTCATCGCAGGTTGGTCCTTCTTTGTAAAAGATCTTCCCTCCCGTTTCTTTCTCAAGGCTGAACGCCTCGGTTGTGCTGCACAGGTTCTCTAATAAGACATGTTTTCTTCTCCCCTGCACAGTGCCAGAGCCTTTTGGAGGCGCGATCATCATTGGGCAGGAGTCTATCACCTATCACAACGGAGATAAATATCTAGCTATAGCTCCACCTATCATCAAGGTGAGTGACTACTGAGATCTAGAAATGCGTCCTGTGTGATTCCTCCATTCCCAGGCATCTCTCAGAGTGCTGGTAGGGTATTGGGCGACTTGTAGTCAAGAATTTAAACTGCTCTTGTCTCCAGGTGTAGCCTAATAGGGCCGCTTACTCCCGGAGGTTTGGCGAGTGTGGGTGTTTCACACGATGTCTGGTCTGTGTTTTTGGGGACTGAGGGACGTATGTGATCCTTGTACTGGTGGCAGCGTGTGCTTGCACTGCAGTGTGTGGCTCTGCTCTCTGTGGAGTGCTCAGAAATGGTGCAGTAAAGCTGAAATCTTGTTTGGGTCCCAGAGAAAGGGATTAATTAGGAGGTAGTGCGTGGTTTGGGCATGGGTCCAGGCCAGAGCCCGGTTTCAGTTCAGGCAGCAAAAGATATGAATAAGCCCCTTGGAGACTTGAGTCCACTGGTGTATGATTGAGGCACTTGTTCAAAGGAAAAAAGACTTACAGAGTTTGTGACAGAAGTTGAGCTTGTGGTTTTTGTCAGAGGGACGAGCCAGTTCCCACATTTAAATGGTGCAGGAAGCACAAATGGCACGGCTGAGGTGCCGCTCGGGGCTGAAAGGGGGCTTGAACTATGATCAAAAGGTCCTTTTAAGCTGGAAATAATGACGGGCTAGAAAAGAGCTATAAATCTTGGGTAAAGAAATACTAATATTGTTGCCTGAATGCCTACAGGCTCTTAGACACTGCTGGGGCTCTGTGATGGAGAGTCTGTTTTACTGGAGCAGGCGGAGTGAGTCGCCTGTGCTCTGCTGACATACAGATCTGGGCCTTGCCCTGCAAGCAGAGTGCAGGCACATCTCTACTCAAGGCCAGTGGGATGTTTGCAGACAATAAAGATCTGCAAGATCAGGATTTTTAAACCAAAACCAAGTATGTCGACAGGAGGCCAGGCAGCATCCACCAACAGAGCAAAACGTCTGCAGAGTTTGGGTCCAGAGATGCAGCAGGCTTGTCTGCAGGTCCCAGATGGCATCGCTGCATCTGTGGAAGGCCCAGTGTTACGAAAACAGGCTTTCTGATGGCATCTTTCCTGGGCTATGAACAAGCTAGTTCAGTTTAGGAACGTGAGGTGGTTCCTAGTGACCGAAAGTGAGACCGTTTGACCACAGATTCTGGTTGTGTTCGCCGATACAGTTGACTGAAGGGCAAATCCAGCCCTTTCCCTCTAGGCAGGAGGAGTGGGACTCTGCTGTCGTTACGGCCAGCAGCTGGTGCGATGTGGATGTGGTTGTTCCCTTCTGGCGTGTACAGAGGTGGTCCTTGCTGGATGCCCGTTTGGGGCTGTTTCAAGGGGTTCCTAAAAATTCCTTCCTCCTTTGCGTGCAGCAAAGTACGATTGTGTGCCACAACCGTGTGGATCCCAATGGGTCCCGTTACTTGCTGGGGGACATGGAAGGACGCCTCTTCATGCTGCTCCTGGAGAAGGAGGAACAGATGGACGGCACTGTCACCTTGAAGGACCTGCGCGTGGAACTGCTTGGCGAGGTAGGACTCAGCTGCGTGGCGTGTGCTGTCCCTGTCGCTTCTCACCTTGAGGCTGGGACGGTCTGCAGGCTGGAAATGCTCCGCTGAGGACTGAGTGGCGGGTGAACAGTCTCTCTTTTGCAGCCCAGGGTGAGGTGAAGTTTCACAGTTGTCACAGCTCTGAACTTTCGGTTGCTGGGAAATTCCCTATTCTGGGCACTTGAAAGTTTACACCATCTTCCCAGGATTTTGCCTAGTGCTTGTGCGCTGTTCCTGGGAGAAGTTTGGACTCTCTGTGGGTTTTGTAAAGGGATTAAATTCCCCTCCTGTGCCCAGGGTCTTCCTGTTGGGCTGCAGCTCAGATGTGGTGCTTGCGGGGTGTGGCACGGTCCTTTTCATGCTAGCGGTGGTTCATCTGCGTCTTCTCAATTCCCAGACATCCATTGCAGAGTGCTTGACCTACCTGGACAATGGAGTTGTGTTCGTCGGTTCTCGTCTTGGGGATTCCCAGCTTGTGAAGGTACATATTTTGTACATATTTATTTTCATCATGGCCTTGAGAGGCGCATGTGGATAAATTTTCCTTTCTTCTCCGTGTCTGCCCTACACCCTTTCCACTTGCTTGGTCTTGCTGGTTGAAAGCCAATGATTTGTGTTTATTCATAGCTCAACGTGGACAGCAACGAGCAGGGCTCCTACGTGGTGGCTATGGAGACCTTCACCAACCTCGGTCCCATCGTTGACATGTGTGTGGTAGACCTGGAAAGACAAGGCCAAGGACAGGTAACGTTGATTCTGCTTTTCTTTTCTCAGTGCTGGGGATATCTGGGCCGGCCAGATGTACGCGTGGGTTGTTCATGGAAGGAAAAGACTACAAACCATCTGTTGGAGGATCTCAAAGTCTTATCCAGGTGCAGGCATGGTATTGAGATCTTACACTGAAGAGTGGTATGAGTGGGGAGGCTAATTCTTGGATACCCCTGTTCATGAGGAAGGGGTTGCCTTCGTGCAAGGGGGAAGGATCAGCTGCCAAAAAACTTCCTCTGAGAAGTGGAGAAGATGGGTACCCCATCTTCCCCTGAACCCGTCGCTACAAGGAGGAGTGGGGAAGCAATGGTTGGTAAAGATCACCTGCTTTTCCTCCAGCTGGTCACATGCTCGGGTGCATTTAAAGAGGGTTCACTGCGGATCATCCGGAACGGCATTGGGATTCATGAGCACGCCAGCATTGACTTGCCAGGGATTAAAGGTGCGTGAGCTGTTCAGTGCTGTCAAATACAACCCGCAGCCTGAGAGGGCCCAGCGGGGACACATCGTGTGCGCAGACTGAAGTTGGGGTGTGGGGCGGGGGGCTTGCCACCCACCAGCTTTTGGAATATTCACTGTGAGCAAACGTGGCCTCTCTTTGTTGCAGGCTTGTGGCCCCTGAGGTCGGACTCTCATCGTGAAACGGACAATACGTTGGTGCTGTCCTTTGTTGGCCAGACCAGGTAAGGTGGGCTTAACACTGAGCCAGGCTCTCAGCCACGTGTTGGAGCATGGTATAACAGGAGTTCCCTTTCCTGTTCAGGGTTCTTATGTTAAATGGAGAGGAAGTAGAAGAAACGGAGCTCACAGGGTTTGTAGATGATCAGCAGACTTTCTTCTGCGGCAACGTGGCACATCAGCAATTGATCCAGGTAATGCCACTTCTAGGGAAATGCAGATATGTTTCTCATGGTGACCCTACAGCCCTTATTGATTGTGGGGCTAACCTAGATCTGTGCTGCTTATCAGGGGCAGGGTTTGCAGTACTTCCCTGCACCGATGTCAGAAGGGAGGTGGTGTTCTGGTTCTGAGCAGAGGTGTTCTTTCTCCCCAGATCACCTCTGCCTCTGTGAGACTGGTTAGTCAGGAGCCCAAAGCCCTGGTGAGCGAGTGGAAAGAGCCCAATGGAAAGAACATCAGCGTGGCTTCCTGTAACAGTAACCAGGTAGTGGTGGCTGTGGGACGAGCCCTGTACTACCTGGAGATCCGACCGCAGGAGCTCAGGCAGATCAGGTAGGTGCACGTCTCTTGTCCTGGCCTGAGGGCTCTCAGCCTCTGCTGTTTGCCTTTGGGCTCAAGACCGAACCTCTGTCTGCTTCTTCCTTCCTGCCAGCTGCACAGAAATGGAGCATGAAGTTGCCTGCCTGGACATCACCCCTTTGGGGGACACGAACGGCATGTCCCCACTGTGTGCAATCGGGCTCTGGACTGACATCTCTGCCCGCATCCTAAAGCTGCCTTCGTTTGAGCTGCTGCACAAAGAGATGCTGGGAGGAGGTAGGGCTCTCCTGGGGCTGCTGGGTGGTGGCAGCAGTCGCTGACCTGGCTGAGTCGTGAGTGACATCAGCCTTCTCGTCTCCTGCTCCCTGCAGAAATTATCCCTCGCTCCATCCTGATGACGACCTTCGAGAGCAGCCATTACCTTCTGTGTGCCCTGGGAGACGGAGCTCTCTTCTACTTTGGGCTCAGCCTCGAGACAGGTGACTACAGGGCCTAGCACTGAGCGGGCTGCTGGAGAGGGTGGCTGGACTTGTGCCGTCTTTACTTGCTTGACGTGCTTTCTTTCATCCTTCCGGAGAGATCTCTCTTTTTCTTAATTTCTCACCGTGACGGGGTCGTGCTCAGGTGGGACTGGCTGTGGGCGCTGGGAGTTGGTGGATTTCTCCAGCGGACTCTGAAGAAAGGAGATCAATGCTTACAGCCATTCCTTTGCTGCCCTGTGCTGACAGCAGGATGCATTTACCCGCGCTCATTTCTTCCCAAGGTGTTGCAGCTGCGTTGCACTCTGCCATCCTGCTCTTGCAAACTCCGTTGCGGCAGCTCCCAACACCGGTGCTCCTTTTCTGCAGGCTTGCTGAGTGACCGAAAGAAGGTGACTCTTGGGACCCAGCCCACCGTCCTGAGGACTTTCCGCTCTCTGTCCACCACCAACGTGTTTGCCTGCTCTGACCGTCCCACCGTCATCTACAGCAGTAACCACAAGCTGGTCTTCTCCAATGTCAACCTGAAGGAGGTGAACTACATGTGTCCTCTCAACTCAGATGGGTATCCTGACAGGTGAGCCTGCACCTTGCCTTGTGTGACACGGGATGGGGGAGGTTTGGACTCTGCAATGGGATCCTGGGGTCAGCAAAGGGGATTCCTGGGATCAGCAGTTTTGAGGCGTGTGGAGGAGAGGGAGGTTCTTGCTGTGCCACCCACCTTATAAGCGCCATTGCTCATGGTTTTTTTTTTTTTTCACCATACAGCTTGGCGTTGGCCAATAACAGCACCTTGACAATCGGCACCATTGATGAGATCCAGAAGCTGCACATCCGCACGGTTCCCCTCTATGAATCGCCCAGGTGAGCTGAGCAGTGGGAGGGAGCCTGTCTTGAGGGCCCGTGCTCTGCTGCGTGGGACAAGGCTGGGGAGAGACTTGGCAGTCGGTGTTCTTGTTGTGGGCTCAGCACGCAGACTGAATTGGTGGCTTGTGCTGAGAGTGGTCTGGGCAAGTGAGCAGCTCTGCCTCTTGTCTCCAGAGCCTCTGTGTTCTCCTTGGAGTGGCCTGTCCTGGCTCTCCTGCCCACACAGCTCTGTTTGTCCCGCAGGAAGATCTGCTACCAAGAGGTATCGCAGTGTTTTGGCGTGCTCTCAAGTCGCATTGAGGTGCAGGATGCCAGTGGGGGCACCACTGCTCTCAGACCCAGCGCCAGCACCCAGGTGAGGGGTAGCTGCTAGATCGTCCTTGAGCTCTGGGCTATGGGTATCATAGTTCCTCAGGCCAAACCGTGATGCAGATTTTCCTTGACAATCTTCTCTTCCAAAGCCCTGAGTGCAAGCTCTCCCTTTGGCAGTCTGGGAGGAGATGGGGTGGTAAGATCTCTCCGTGGTGGTGAGAAGGGCTCTCTGTGCTGCTCTCTGGCAGCCTTGGCATGCTCACTGTTCTGTCAGATCACCTTTGGTTTTGGGTGCTCCCATACAGGCTTCTGTTCGGTCTCAAGTGGTTTCCTTTTCCCAGGGATGCAGGCACAAGTCCCCTTCAGGCTCTGGTGGAAGCCACAACACTGCATAAACTCTTCTATTAATGCTGTTGCTCAGCAGTGCTACCTCTGCCGTGCATGTCACACATCTCTGCTGGTGCAGGGAGTGTGTCCCCTTACTCAGGTCCAGGGAGCACCTTGCTTCACCTTCTCTCCCATTCATTCTTCTGGTTCCCAGTTGCCTCAGCCAGTGTGGAGCAGCGTGAGGATGTGCCGAGTAGCACAAGGATGTGACCGATCTTACTGTGTCCTAGGCCCTGTCCAGCAGTGTGAGCACCAGCAAGCTGTTCTCCAGCAGCACAGCACCACATGAGACGTCCTTCGGAGAAGAGGTGGAGGTGCACAACCTGCTCATCATAGATCAGCACACCTTCGAAGGTACCAGTCCCAAATGCTGGCCATACCCTAGTCCAGTTTTCTCCTCCAGGACAAGCCTGTCAGCGTGTGGCTGAGATTTGTGATCTTCACAGACTCGTGAAGATCTGTGATCTTGCACATTTCCTTCAGTCAAAGCATTTTTCCTGGAGGAGCGTCAGCCTTTGGGCATAGTTTTAAGGCATAGTGGTTTTTTGATGGCACAAGGTGGTGGTGGGGAATGGGAGAGGGGATCTCCAGGCAGCCGTCTTGGACATGTCTTAAGGTTTCAGCTGCTCCTAGGCAAGCTGCTCTGCCCACGCATGGAAGTGCTGCCTGCCGGGACCCCGGGGACCCAGTTGTTTCTGCCTTTCCCTCTTTGCACAGTGCTTCATGCTCACCAGTTTCTGCAAAACGAGTACGCCCTCAGCCTGGTCTCTTGCAAGCTTGGCAAGGATCCAAACACCTACTTTATCGTGGGCACCGCCATGGTATATCCCGAGGAGGCAGAGCCCAAACAGGGCCGCATCGTTGTCTTCCACTACTCTGACGGTAAGAGCAAGGTCTTCTCGCATGACCAAGTCCAGCTGCTTGAGGGAGATCAGAGATGAGCTCCTCAGGCCTGAGAGAGCTCACGTCCCAGTAGCAGGCAGAGGGGTTTTTCCTGAGGGGCCTGCTGTCAGCTGCCCACAGACAGGATCTGTAGGTGCTGTTACTCTGCTGCAGGCCATCGCAGCGTGTTCCCTTTCCCCCCCATCTCCCAGAGAAGCCCAAGAATCCCTCACCAGAATTGGATTCTGGGATTTGCTTTCTGTGTGTCTGCCCCTGCGGCCATGTCACTCCTGCGTTACTTGCCCACAGATCCTCTGAGACAGTTTCTAGGGAGAGCAATGTTGTTTAGAGCAGCTGGTCTGAATCCCCTGGGCTTGCCACCCTTGGGAGTGCAGGGCAAATAACCGGGCAGTAAATGGGTTTATTCCAGGGAAGCTGCAGAGCCTGGCTGAGAAGGAGGTCAAGGGGGCTGTGTATTCCATGGTGGAGTTCAATGGGAAGCTGTTAGCCAGCATCAACAGCACGGTAGGGCTCTCGCAAGACCCTGACTTGTTTCGGGAGTGCGTTTCAGAGCTGGAAGCCGCTCCAGCTGTGTGGACGTCAGCCAGGTCCCCGATCTCTGTTGGGGAGTGTGTCTTGGCTGGCGCGGGTGTCCATGCTGGCTCAGAGCTGTGTCCCTTCCTTCAGGTGCGCCTGTATGAGTGGACAGCAGAGAAAGAGCTACGCACAGAGTGCAACCATTACAACAACATCATGGCGCTCTACCTGAAGACCAAAGGAGACTTCATCCTCGTGGGAGATCTGATGCGGTCTGTCCTCCTCCTTGCATACAAGCCCATGGAAGGAAATTTCGAGGAGGTATCAATGCTGTTAAATAGTCTTGGTCAAAGGCGTGCTGGGAGCCCGTGCTGCATCTTCCAGTAGGCTCTGGGCAGGGGGAACAGTGTTTAAGGTGATAAAAGGAGGAGCCTGCCTCACCCCACCTTGCTAGCCCTTTGAAGACAAGGCTGTAGAGCTGTGCAATGAGAGCAGCGTCACCTGGACGTGCTTTTAGACGGATCCCTGTGGTTTCTGGAGGGACGGATCCCTGGGCTTCCAGGAAACTGGGCAATGAATCAGCAGCCTTGAGAAGAGCAGGCTTTGGGTGCATGATTGCTGCCTGCCAGGGGTGGGGAGCTGCCATCTGGACTGCCTGTTGTACAGTTGGAATGGTTTAGTGCGACTGTAGCTGCATCTCTGTCAGCAAGTGCAGCGTGGCTGGGGGATGGACCAGGCACTGAGACAGTCTGTGCACTTAAATTGTTAGAATGGCTCTGGGCATGGCTTTGGCACGGGCTGGTCTGCGTTTGCCCAGGGAGCGTCCTGGCATTGTCCGAGTGCCACTCGGGCCAGGGCCATCTCCAGAAGACACTTGGTGCCTTTTGCGCTCAGCTGCTTCATCTAGCAGAGAGGGACAGACTGGATCCCACCTTGCTCCTGAATGTTGCTGTTGGGTGGAAGGAAGATGCTGGATCACAGGACGGGCCATCTGTGCACGCTGCCTCTTCTCTTGTCCCCTTCCAGATTGCCCGAGATTTCAATCCAAACTGGATGAGTGCTGTGGAGATCCTGGACGACGACAACTTCTTGGGAGCAGAAAACGCTTTCAATTTGTTTGTGTGCCAGAAGGACAGGTGAGCTGCCTGTGAGGGGGATGTGGCAATGTGTGACGGGAGGGATGGGGTGTGGTAGGACCTTCTGGTCTCCTCCACATTACGGCTCCAGAGGCGTGTGTGTCAGGCAGGAAAGCTGGGAGGAGCACGTCCAGCTCTGAGGAGCAGCGAGGTGGGAGCAGGGGAAGCTTTCACGTCACCCCAGCACAGACTGAGCAGGGTGCTTTGGATTTCAGTGCGGCCACGACCGATGAGGAACGCCAGCACTTGCAGGAGGTGGGACTATCCCATCTGGGAGAGTTCGTCAATGTCTTCTGTCACGGGTCTCTGGTCATGCAGAATCTGGGTGAGACGTCCACACCAACGCAGGGCTCAGTTCTCTTCGGCACAGTCAACGGCATGATCGGTAAGGGTCAGGGTTCCCCAGCCTGAGTGGGAGGGGAATTTTGAACCTGGGCTGGGGTTTCCTCACGTCTCCGTTCTTCTCTGTTCCCCAGTCGAGTGACGCTCTGTGCCGTACTCCTCTCAGAAACCTGCTTTTCTCTCTGGATTGCTTCCAGGAGAGGAAAGTGCTCTGGCTTTCTTTGAAACTCCTCCTTTGTCCCAGCCCTCCCAGGCACCAGCTTCCAGCACAACTCCAGTCCCGGCAGCCTGCCAGTCCCTGCCTGCTGGGAGCTGCCGGGACGCCCTGGGCTGAGCCCTGAACCTTTGTCTCCATTTCGCCCTTTGCAGGACTGGTGACCTCGCTGTCGGAGAGCTGGTACAACCTCCTCCTGGACATGCAGAACAGGCTGAATAAAGTCATCAAGAGCGTGGGCAAGATTGAGCACTCCTTATATCCTTTCGCAGTTCAGTCGGGAGCCTGTGCCAGTCAACGCTTGTGAATTTGGCCTGAGCCAGGCGTGGGGTGGGGTGTTGGAGGTTTATCTCTCTTGGGACACTCTGGTGGGAGTGTACATCAGCTGGAGAGGGTAGTAGTGTGTTTGCCAGGTGCCCAGGGCTTTGTGCTCGAAGAGAAGGTGCCTGCGGTAGAGAGAAATCTATCTTGCGGGTTTGAGGATGAATCTGGCTTTGTGGTAGCCCTAAAAATGTGGCACAAATTCTGTGATTGTCGGTCTGTCTGGGGCAGCTACTCTGTGCACCCATAGTCCGGGGCTGGTGTTACTCCTTGTGGATTCGTGCTCCTTGACGGTGGCACCTGGAGATCATTTCACACCGAACGCAAGACAGAACCGGCTACGGGGTTCATCGATGGTGACCTGATTGAAAGCTTCCTGGACATCAGCAGGCCCAAGATGCAGGAGGTGGTGGCAAACTTGCAGGTGAGATGGGTGATGGGAGCTTAGGCCCTTCAAAATTAGCACCTTGCTCGGGAATCCAGGCTGCAGTAAATCCTAAATGCTTGCCTTCCTACAAGGCGGTGGTCTGGGAGGGTTCTTCAGCACCTGCTGATGTCTCCATGCTCTGATGCCTTCTTCTCTCCTTGCAGATCGACGACGGCAGCGGCATGAAGAGGGAGGCCACCGTAGACGACCTGATAAAGATCGTGGAGGAGCTGACCCGGATCCATTAGCAGGATTCGGAGTCGTTCCCTAGCACCTTCCTCCATGTAGAGCAAGGGAGTCTTTTTCCCCACCTGCAGCTTGGGGACCCCTGGCCGGCTGCACTGAACACCAGCGGTGGTGGCCCTTGCCCGAGGGGACGTGGGGGAAGGAGTCTCTGAAGGGGAGCCAGCTTGCTAGGGATTTGGGGGGGTGTTGGTCAGGCACCACGTCATCGCCTGCTTGGATTCATGAATCCTGCGGACTCAGCTGCTGACCCAGAACTGGGCTTCGCTGGTCGCTCTCGTTGGGTGACCGACCGGTAGCGCTCGGCTGATGCGGTGCCCTTGCCTGGATTCACTCTTCACTGTTGTCTTTAGTATCTTTTATTTGGTTTTTTTTTTCTTTCAGTTTCGTTTTTGGTTCTTTTTGATTCGCTGTGTTTTTTTGGAAGAGGAAGCAAAGCTGCCTGTAGGGTGAGGGCGGGGGCTGGAGGAGTCATCTGGGGCTGGTGAGACACGCGGGCGCGGAGGGGGAGGATTTCTCTACATCTGGGTGACGAAGCTGAGTGGGACAGCGCGCTCCTCTCTCTCCACAGATCTGTGGCTCGCTCAGAGAGGGAAGTTCTGGGAAGCTCGATCAGTTGTTGGTTTCTGAGTTTTACCAAATAAAGTAGTCCAAGAGGAAAGGTTCTGTCTCCTGGCGCCGAGCTCCTCATCGTGACTGTGGGGTGGTGCCCCCTGTGCGGAGCCGTGTCCTTGGCCAGCCAGAGTGACCCCCCCCTTCCCAAGCCAAGGCAGTTTCCCCATGTTGAAACGTGGTCCCGTGCTTGGTGTCGGCGAGAGCAGCGTGGGGGGCAGCAGGCTCAGCGGATCAATCTGCAGGTGCTGGGGCGTGTGTCTGTTTTCCAGATGCATTTTTATGGCTTTTCTTTGACGTGAAAGAAATTTTAGTTTTGCCTCTTGGTGTGCAGCGTAGTGCAAACAGGTTGGCAGCGGTGTGGCCGAGTGCCCCTGATAGGGAGGCAGATCTTTTGCTGGATTTTTGGGGACGCCTTGACTGTGTACATCATCCCTTTGGAAGAAACGCGTCTCTGCAGCTTGCCTCTCCCCTGCAGCAGCGCTTCTCAGCAGCGTGTGGGCCCAGCTTGCGTGGTGGCAGTCGTGCGGAGGTGGGAGAGCAGACGATGTAGCGACACAGCAGCGCTCGCCATCCTCCTGGGACCCCGGGAGTGCCTGTCCCTGGCAGCGGACGGCGTTAGCGGAGCGGATGGCAGCCGGCGGCACTTCTTGAAC